GGGCGTGGGGCATGTGTGTGTGTGTGTGGGGGGGGGCTGTGGCTGTGGGTGGGTGGGGCCGCCCTCCAGGGCCGCCGAGCACCCTTTTACCTTTGTAGCCCGGGCGGCCGATCTTTACGAACTTCTTCACCTCCACCTTGACCTTCTCGGGCGCCGGCTGGGCGGGGGCCTCCTTGGCCTCCTTGGCTGCTCGCCGGGCCCTGCAGGTGGGACGGACATGGTGCTGAGGGCCCTCCACACAGGCCGCCAAGGCCATAGGCCCAGGTGCCAGGAGTGCCACCCCCTGTCCTGCCCCAGCCAACCTTGGAGCTCCGAGGTCAAGGGGGATGGGGGTCAAGTGAGGTGACAGCTCTGGTGGGGGTGAGCGCTGGGCATGGGAAGGGGCGCGAGGTACTCACAAGTTGGTCTGATGCTTTTTCCCTTGGGTGTGTGCGAGGTAACTCCCCTAGAACAGGAGAGGGACGCACAGCTCAGGACAAAGCGAGCGGGAAGGTGCCGGTAGGCCCCCGATCGCTGCTGAGTAGACGAGCGCTAGTGGGTCTGCACACAGGGGAACGAGACCCCCAAAAGCCGGGGGTGAGGCGGGCCTCCGGAGGGTGCGACGCGGGCAGTCTCGCAGCTGCTGGGGTGCAGTGTGGGCTGTGGACACTGCTTGGAAGTGGTGGGGAAACCCGGGAGTGAACATGTCCCGTGATTCCATCTCCACGATGCCCCAGGGATGAGACACGCGAATCACTGGTTCTCAACCGGGGCCGGTGGTGGGGGCGGTTTCTGACCCCCAGGGACAGCATGCCCAGGACGGTCCTCCCCGGAGGATGAGCAGCCCCAATGTCACGGGGAGACCCTCCCGTATCAGGCTGTTCAATTCAGTGCTGCCATCCGGGACTGGGAACCACCAGAAACAAAGCACGTCCTCCACACGAGAAAAGGAACAAAGGGACCTACTCGTGCCAGGAGAGGGGCCCAGCGTGAGGGAGCATCAGACTCTCGCCTGCTTCAATGGCGCAAACTAGGGCTTCCCTGGTGGTGCAGCGGTTGGGAGTCCGCCTGCCGATGCAGGGTACACGGGTTCGTGCCCCGGTCAGGGAAGATCGCACATGCCGCGGAGCGGCTAGGCCCGTGAGCCATGGCCGCTGAGCCTGTGCATCCGGAGCCTGTGCTCCACAACGGGAGAGGCCACAACAGTGAGAGGCCCGCGTACCGGGGGGGAAAAAAAAAATGCGCAAACTAGAGCCACACCGGCTAGACTTCACGACCCCGATCCTGACGTGGAACGTCCCAGGGTGTCCCCACGTTCCCAGATACACATCTGTGGCAATGGTGCCACCGGTACTGAAGGAAATGGACAGAAGGACTCGGCAAGTCCACAGCAGCGCAGGTGGGGTGGGGTGGGGCAGGGGCGGGGCCGCACCTCATTGTTGTGCAGCGTCAGGCACAGCTTGCACTCGTAGGAGCCCAGATGGTTCTTCATAAAGTACGGGTCCTGCGGAGGAAACACGCTTGTTATGCAGTGGGAGGGGCCCTGGGGACCCCGCACGGGCGTGAGAGAAGCACGGCTGCCCCTGGCGGGCGCTGAGAGAACACCACTCTCTTCCGGGCAAACATGCGCGGCGGGGGAGGGGGCGCAGAGGACAAGCAGGAGCCCCCAAGGCAGCACCGTAGAGTCCACTGGGTGGGGCTGGGGCTGACCACGCGCCCCTGCAGCAAGCTCCGGGGAAGGGTCCTCCGGGAGCCCTGCCCCCACATCCTTGGCAGCCTGGGGTCCAGGAGGCAGAGCCGAAACAGCACCACTGCTCATCCATCTCCATGGCGCCGACCAGGCCAGCACTCCTCGTGCCGCAGCACAGCCGGACGCGGGCAGAGAAGCAAGCGGGACAACCCGAGGCCCTAGGGGACCCCGTCTCTGCACATCCCGTGAGCGGGGCAGGGGCTCCAGGGCCAACTGGTGACCACTCAAGAGGCGCAGAGCAGACGGCAGGGGTTCAGGTCCCAACTCCACCGCTCAGAGACCGGGTCGTCATTGGCGATGACAATCCCACCCTCAACTCTGTTTCCTCAACTGGAAAATGGGGAGAGTAACAGGACTGACCTCCCAGGCCAGGCCTGTGAGGGGCTTTGGGAGTGCCCGGCACATGGTGCGGGCTCGACACACCTCAGGGCATTTCAAAGTCTAAGAGGACCTATATGCTGAACACCAAGGGGCACATCGAGGGCAACTCTGCCTCCAGGGTCCACTGGGCAATGTCTGGGGACATCAGTGGTTGTCACGAGTTGGGGGGTCCTGGCATCAAGTGTGGAGGTGAGGATGCTGCTCCACACCCCACAGCGCCCGTGACGGCCCCCACGCCACAGGGAATGACCCGGCCGCATCTCCAAGCTGAGAAACCCTTAGTCAGTTATTCGCGAAAACCTTTTGAGTCTGCTCCCTGCCCACAGCGGACACCAGGATAAATCCCTGATGCTCAGCTGGTGTAAACCAGGGGGCCCCCCAGCATCTGTATCACCTCCTCTCCCTCCCACTCAGGTGTGGACTGAAATGTGTGCAGCACCCCAGGACCACAGAGGTCAGGTGGTCACAGAACCCAGTCTCCTGGGGTCAGTGGAATCCCTATCCCTGGGGTCTCCCCGGAGGTGATTCCGCCCCCCAAGGGACACTGAGCGACATATGGGGACATCTGTGGCCACTGTGACTGGGGAGCTCCTGGCATCTGGCACGGGGGCAGGGCAGGGATGCTGCTGCACACCCCACAGCGCCCAGGGGGACCCACATACGAATCCCCAGGGCTGAGGCGGAGGCCTGTCTCCCTACAGCTCTGTACGGATAAGCTGCTGTCTTTCGCTGCCCGTGGTGCCATCAGGGCCCCCACCACTGGCGACTCCCCACACCTCTGGTTAAGTATAGCTTCCTGCGGTAACAGACCCTTCAAACGTGGGGCTACGAACAGCAGCCGGCCTCTGGTGGACACAGAGCTGCCACTCCAGGTGAAGCTCCCTGGTGCAGGGTGGGCACAGGCGGTGGGAGGGCGTGTGTACCTTGTTGATGTCGATGGTCTCCAGGGCCAGCTGCCGGAGGCGCTCCCTACGGTCCCGGTTGCTCTCAGAGGAGGAGGCCACGCCCCCACTCCCGGTCTTGCCTCCGGGGCGATGCTGGAAGTCCATGGTGAGGACCCTGGGGCTCTACCAGACCAGAGGGGAAACCTGTGGAGGCCAAGGGGCGGCTGTGAGGCTGTGCAGGAGGCCTCGCCCTCCAGGTTCAGCCTCATCCCCCACCCTGCTCTCGCAGCTCTCAGCCTCACGACCACGCTTTACCAGGTCTCTCCCAGTGGCCGAGGGCCCACTATGGGCCAGGCACACGGAAATCAGGAAGGAGAAACAGGGCATCTCCAGGTGACCTTGTGGGTGGACTGAGGAAGTCCCCGCAGCCTGAGGAGTGCAAAGGCCCAAGGACCCGAAATGGCAAAGGGCAAAATGAGACCAAGGTCTCACTAATTAGTCACACCTCCTCCAAGAAGCCTCCCCAGACCGCCCAAGCCCATGCTGTTCACTCCCTCCTCTGAATTCCCTTTCTGATTGTCTTACACTTACTTCTCTCAGCCCAAATTCTGCTTCTCTGGCTCAGCTGCTACATTTGCTGGAAACAAGGAACACATCTACCAACCTATCCCCCCCCCCTCACTGCCTAACGCACAAGATGTTCACGGCTCGTTCGTGGCTGAGGAAGGCTCTCCCGAGCCCTTGATGTCTCTTCCAGCCCAGCCACTGTTTCCCACCCTCCTTCAGGCTCAGCTCAGACCCAACCTCCAGGAACCTCTCTCATCTTACACTCCCTTTCCCACTGGTCAATGTTGGCCCCAGGCCCCTGGCATCTTGTCTCTGTTGGGGTAAATTCCCAGGGATGGGGCCCAGGAGTGAATATGACCCCTGCCAAAGATGGCCCCATCTCAATCTCAAGGGTTCCTGGACGTGTCACCTCACGGGGCAGAGGAGACTTTGCAGGTGGGGTTAAGGCCCCTGAGACAGGGATGACCCTGGATTCCCGGTGGGCCCAGCGTCATCCCAGGGTCCTTATAAGAGGGAGGCGGGAGGGTCAGAGGCAGAGAGAGACGGGAGATGCTGCGCTGCCGGCTGTGAGGATGCAGGAGGGGCTGCGAGCCAGGGAGGCGGCGCCTCTAGAAGCTGGAAAAGGCAGAACCGATGCCGCCCTGGAGGCTCCAGAAGAAATAAAGCTCAGTGAGACTCACAATGAACTTCTGACCTCCAGAGCTGCATCATGAACTTAGGTCGTTTAAGCCACTAGGTCTGTGGTGGTTTGCTGCACCGACCACAGGAAACTAACAGTCCAGGCACCAGCCAGCTGTGCCATCAACCCGCAGTGTGACTTGATGAGTTTACAAAAACCTCACATATGGTGACCAGCGGGGTGACCTAGTTGGCTGCAGAATCCCAGGACTAGACTTTTTATTTCACGCCAAGTCCACCCAGAGCCGCCAACTGGTAAAGGCAAAACACTAACAGATCCAAGAGTTCCAGTCAGTTTGCGGGGAGCCCAGTTTCTTCTTAAGCAGCCAGAACAAGCCCTTGTTCTAGCCGGGAGTACGTGCCACAGGTGTCGCGAAAGCACCTGTGGAGAGGATCTGAGTGGCTCAGGAAACCCAAACGCAAACAAATACTTAATCACTCACCACATTACAGTGAATGCCAGTACCTATAAGAGACTGAAATGAGGCCAGAGTGAAAAGGGGGCAGGTCCATCAAAACCCATCCGCTAGGGCTTCCCTGGTGGTGCAGTGGTTAAGAATCTGCTGGCCAATGCAGGGGGCATGGGTTCGAGCCCTGGTCTAGGAAGTTCCCACATGCCGCAGGGCAACTAAACCCGTGTGCCACAACTACTGAGCCTGTGCTCTAGAGCCCGCGAGCCACAACTACTGAAGCCCGCGTACCCAGAGCCCCTGCTCCACAACAGGAGAAGCCACCGCAATGAGAAGCCCACGCACCACAACAGAGAGTAGCCCCCGCTTGCCACAACTAGAGAAAGCCCGCGCAGCAACGAAGACCTGATGCAGCAAAAAAAAAAACAACAACAACAAAAAACAAACCCACTCGCTAAGCAGCAGGCAACACCCCTTTCCCTGGTCTGTGTCCAGCAGGCAGGAGACCCAGCTGGTGCTCCCAGCCCAGGGGAGATCAGGAGTCTTTTCTGGGAAGAGAGCACCAGAGACAGTATTCTCAGACACTGACGGTTGGGGGCCCCCCACACTCCCCAATCCCCAGCACTCTGCCAGGCCCACTGAGCTCGCTGGATGAGAAGCACTGCTCTCCACGCAGACTGGTAACTTAACATAAACAGATGCAAAGAAACGTGTGGATCAGAGAAAAAAGAAATCTGATGGAAACATCAATAGAAGATGTTAACGTCCTCCCGGATGACAGGAGACGTTACCACATCGTGAAACGAGAACAGGTGCCAAAGGTGAGCACGGTGAATTAAAACCAGACGAACCCTGAGACTTCCCTGGTGGTCCAGTGGGTAAGACTCCATGCTCCCAATGCAGGGGGCCTGGGTTCCATCCCTGGTCGGGGAACTAGATCCCACATGCTGCAACTAAGAGTCCACATGCCACAACTAAGAGCCGGTGCAGCCTAAATAAATAACAAATAAAGTCAAAAAAAAAAAGACAAACCTTTAAAAGTAAGTACGTGATGAACCTGACAAAACAATGAATACGAGTGCTTGAATGTAAGAGTCAAAGTAGGCTTTCATAATGAAGAACAAGAAAATGAACAACAATAACAACAATAGCAAAATAACAAGAGGCAAAGCAAGAACCTAGAAATCACGGACTGAAACAGAACGAAACGTGGACACACTACTATATTTAAAATAGATAACCAGGGCTTCCCTGGTGGCGCAGTGGTTAAGAATCCGCATGCCAATGCAGGGGACACGGGTTCGAGCCCTGGACCAGGAATATCCCACATGCTGCGGAGCAGCTAAGCCCGTGAGACACAGCTACTGAAGCCTGCGCACCTAGAGCCCGTGCTCCGCAACAACAGAAGCTGCCACAATGAGAAGCCCATGCACCGCAACGAAGACTAGTCCCTGCTCGCCACAACTAGAGAAAGCCCGCGCGCAGCAACAAAGACCCGACACAGCCAAAAATAAATAAATAAAATAAATAACTTTATTCAAAAAAAAGATAATCAATACGGACCTCCTGCATAACACAGGGAACTGTGCTCAATGCTCTGCAATGACCTATATGCGAAAAGAACCTGAAAAAGAAAGGACCTAACCTTCAGACAAAAACAAAGAAAAACACTCTCAAACAAAGAGACCATGAAATTTCACAGCACTAATGAAAACCTAAAGTTTCTACTAGACAGAAAGAAAATCAGAAACAAGAGGTCGGAAACCAGAACAGGACGAGACCCTTCAGGACAGCAGGGAACTCCTAAGACGGGCAATGCTTTCACAGTTCCCACCGGGGGCTTTTGATCTGGAACTTTACACCCACACTTCTGCCTGTGAGGGTAAATAAAGCTGTTTTCAGCTAACCGAGAGCTCAATATAAAAAAATGAGTCGAGGGCTTCCCTGGTGGCGCAGTGGTTGAGAGTCCGCCTGCCGATGCAGGGAACACGGATTCGTGCCCCGGTCCGGGAAGATCCCACATGCCGCGGGCGGAGCGGCTGGGCCCGTGAGCCATGGCCGCTGAGCCTGCGCGTCCGGAGCCTGTGCTCCGCAGCGGGAGAGGCCACAACAGTGAGGGGCCCGCGCACCGCAAAAAAAAAAAAAAAAAAATCGTATCAGCCCGTACTTCAAGATCTTTTTCCTAAATCTGCAATCTGACTTTGTAATTCTGATGAGCTCTGATGGAAGAAAAGAAGGGGAGTAGATGGTCACACTGAAAACAAGCCAGCCCAGGGGAGCCCGGACAGCAGGTTCTAGGACAGCTGCTCAGCTGCAAGGTGGGGCTCCAGTCCCGACCGGAGCAGGAGGATGCCAGCTTTGAGAGGGAAGTTTCCACGGGGGAAAGGAAAAAAGGCATCCATTTGTTTCAACCAGTGGGAAAATACAACCGCTAGGCGTGTGAGGAGAAAACGCTTTGAGTACAAAGGTTTAACAAGCAGCAAAGGAAATCAGGCGAATAGGAAAAGTGAAGAAGTTAATGAGCTTTGGGAGGCAGGAGGAAGAATGGTGTAAGAAACCTAGACTGACAGGCGGGGAAGTCACTTAACCTCGGGGCTTCGCTTGCGAAACGGGCCCAGCTAACGGGCTCTGGTGGCTTCGGGCGCGGTGCCGGGCGCTCCGCCTCCGGACCTTCCTTTCTACTCGGTGGGCCTGGAACTGGGGCCGCCGTCACCCCTATCCAGGTGAGTCCCGGACCACAGAGCCAGCAAGCCAACGGACGAGTCCTCGGGTGCAGGGAAGGCGCCCCGGACCACGGGAGCCGCCACCCGACCCGACCTGACCCAACGGGCCTTTGCAGCCGGAACTCCTAGCGGGCGGGGGTGGGGGGGGGTCGGGCCTGCCCAGCG